CGATCCGGACCCAGGTTCTAGGTGTTCCTAAAGCCCAACGATGCATCTGCCCTTCCTGGGGTCATGGAGCTCAGACATTCCACTTCTAGCCATTTGAATTGGATTTTTGCCAACTGCAACAAAAAAGGACCTGATAAATATATCTCCTAATTGGTCCTCCTGTCTCCAGGCTTGCCAGCATCCAATCCAGCTGGATCTTTCTAAGCTGCTGATCTAGACACCGTCTTCCTGCCTAGAACTCTTCAGTGACCCCCCCCAGCCATTGAGGAGAATGCCCAAATTCTTCAGCATGGCCTTCCTTAGACTCTGGCATCCGAGCCAAGCTTTCCAACCTCATCTCCTGCCGTTTCCTTCCATTTCTTCAGTTTACATAAGACCACTCCTTGGTGCCAGAACCGTGGGCCACGTGCTCACAGCTCCAGGGCTTGCTTAGACTTTTCCTTCTGCATGGGTGCCATTTCTCACCAAACGGACACCCACCTGTCTTTCGGGTTCCATCTCCCACGACGATGATGGCGACGACTTTCCCAACAATACTCCTACCAAAAACAGTCATGTCCTTAGTTTCAATTTCAAAACACTTGATTAATCCATCATTCAACAAATATTTGTCGAGCACTCCTGTGTGCCAGGCACTGTTCCCAGAGCTGCTGAACTCAAATGACACAGCCTTTGCCCTCACAGAACTTAGGGTCTAGGTGGATGGGAGGTGGGTAGGAAGTATAGACAAATTAGAGTGCTCTTGGCTCCAAGAAACAGATTAATTCATTCAAAGTGGCATAAGCAGGGGCGCCTGGGTGGCTCAGTCGGTTGGGTGTCCGACTTCGGCTCAGGTCATGATCTCACGGTCCGTGAGTTCGAGCCCCGCATCGGGCTCTGTGCTGATGGCTCAGAGCCTGGAGTCTGCTTCCGATTCTGTGTCTCCCTCTCTCTCTGCCCCTTCCCTGCTCATGCTCTGTCTCTCTCTGTCTCAAAAATAAATAAAAACATTAAGAAAAAAAATTAAAACCAAAAAACCAAAAAAACAAAGTGGCGTAAGCAGTGAGTGCTATATTATGTAGCATAAGAAGTCAGGAGGTAGGCAAATTGAGAGTTGGTGGATTCAGTGGGTCAGTGATGTCTGGGACCGGGGATATGAGGTAGAATAAGGGACCTACCTTACAGGACTGCTGTGGGATTAAATGGGTTTACACATTTAAAGCAATAGAACAGTCCCAGGCACATAGTAAGTGTTCAGTGAGCATTAGTTATTTATGAGCTCAAAGACGTATCAGCAGCGCATCGGTGAGTGCACGGGTAAGCAAATTGTGGTCTGTTGAGCCATAAAAGGGGATGACGTGCTAATACATACTACGATCACGATAAATGTCAAAAGTATAATGCGAAGTGAAAAAAAGTCAGGCACAGAAGGTCACGCAGTGTATGATTTCTATTTACATGAAATATTTGGAGTAAGTAAATCCATAGAGACAGAATGCAGATTGGTGGTTGCCCGGGGCTCGGGAGAGGGGAGAGTGGGGAGTGACTGCTTAATGGGTAAGAGATTTCTTTTTGGGGTGATGAAAAGTTTGGACCTAGCTAGAGGGGGTGGTTGTACAACGCTGGGGGTGCCCTAAATGCCACCGGATAGTCACTTTAAAATGGTTAATTTTGGGGCGCCTGGGTGGCGCAGTCGGTTAAGCGTCCGACTTCAGCCAGGTCACGATCTCGCGGTCCGTGAGTTCGAGCCCCGCGTCGGGCTCTGGGCTGATGGCTCGGAGCCTGGAGCCTGTTTCCGATTCTGTGTCTCCCTCTCTCTCTGCCCCTCCCCCGTTCATGCTCTGTCTGTCTCTGTCCCAAAAATAAATAAACGTTGAAAAAAAAAATTAAAAAAAAAAAATAAATAAAATAAAATGGTTAATTTTATGCCGTGTGAATCTCACCTCAGTAAAGTAAACATATCCACGAGGCTGTTCACGGAGACACGGTTTGAAAAAGCAAAACACTGGATACAGTCTAATATCCATCAATGTCAAATAAATTAGGGTCCACCCACACCATGGCATATCATTTAGCCATTTAAAAGAGTGAGCTAGAGCTGTATATACTAACTTGGAAAGATCCCTAAGACATACAGTTACATGGAAAAAAAAAAGTCATAGAACATTCTAGTGCGATTCTATTTTTTTTAAGTTCATTTATTTATTTTGAGAAAGAGAGAGAAACAGAGCACATGAGCAGGGGAGGGGCAGAGAGAGAGAAGAGAGACAGAATCCCCAGCAGGCTCTGCACTACCAGTGCTAAGCCTGACCCCAGGGCTCGAACTCGCAAACCGTGAGATTGTGACCTGAGCCAAATCCAAGGGTCAGACACTTAACCGACTAAGACACCCAGGAGCCCCAGTGTGACTCTATTTATTAATTATAAAATGATATGTAATGGGGCGCCTGAGTGGCTCAATCAGTTAAGTCTCCGACTTTGGCTCAGGTCATGATCCCACAGTTTGTGAGTTCGAGCCCCATGCCAGGCTCTGTGCTGACAGCTCGGAGCTGCTTCAGATTCTGTGTCTCCTTCTCTCTCTGCCGGTCCCCTGCTCGTGCTCTGTCTCCCTCTCTCAAGAATAAATAAACATTGAAAAAATTTATAAAATTATATGTGTATGTCTATTAGTTTATAAATGCATTCAAAGGGGCCTGGAAACCCAACTAACTGTTGAGAATGGTTACGTCGGCGGTGACCTAAGAGGTGAAAGGGATCTTGTGCTTATTAACTTGTGTCCTCAAGCATTATTGCTAACTTTTATGATGAGAATCTTCCCAGGAAATACAAATTAAAGTAAACATGAGAAATCACTTTCAATGCACCAGATGGGCAAAATCAGAAAAAAAAAAAAAGGATAAGACCTACTGCTGGTGGGATGTGGGAAGAGGGTGTTCTCATTCAGCGCTGGGGGAAATGGGAAGAGCTATCGCTTCTTTGGGACCTGGTCTGCCGGCATCTATTCAAATAAAAATACATATACATGTTGGCCCAGTAATCTCATTATTTTCTTAATAACAGCTCTCCTGAGCTATGGTGTATATGCCATACAAGTCACCCACTTAAAGTATACGATCCTACGGTTTTTAGTACATTCAGAGTTGTGAAACCACCACCACAATCAATTTCAGATTCTTTTCATCACCCCCCAAAAGAACCCCGACCCTGCCTGGCATCCGTTAGCAACCAATCACTCGTCTTTTCCCACCCACCCCTAGGCACCCACCAACAATCTATATCTGTCTCTTTGAATTTGCCTATTCTGAACACTTCATATAAGTGGAATCGTATTTATAACTGGCTCCTCTCACACAGTGTCATGTGTTCAAGGTTCATCCTTGTTGCAGGAGTCTCATTCCTGCAAATCCATTCCATAGCAATAAAAGCACCTGTGCCTCAGGACATATGTACGAGGATGTTTATGGCAGAGATGTTCGCGACAGTAAAAAGAGAGAAAGGAAAAAGGAAAACTGGCAGTGTCACGGATGGTCATTAATCGGAACGGGGCCCGGAAGGTGACACCACTAGAAAAGAATGCACGAGCACCAGGCCACTTGAACTGAAGGGAATTCCCTGAGCAAGAAAAAGGACGATAGAGAAGGATGCACAAAATATTCAAATCCAATTTTTGATCTACAAACTCATTTTAAAATACTTTTTGGGATAAGTTTGTTTATTTTGAGAGGGAGAGAGAGAGCGCGCGCTAGTGGGAGAGAGGCAGAGAGAGACACACAAGCAGACTCTGTGCTGTCCGCACAGAGCCTGACGTAGGGCTCAACCTCACAAATCGTGAGAGCGTGACCTGAGCCGAAATCAAGAGTCAGACGCTTAACCGACTAAGCTAACCAGGTGCCCCAACTTACAAACTTATTTCATTGATTTACATTTTCAAATGTCCGCTTGTTTTTGAAAGAGAGAGAGAGATTGAGGGCCAGAGCATGAGCAGGGGAAAGGCAGAGAGAGAGAGAGAGGGAGACAGAATCTGGAGCCGGCTCCAGGCCCTGAGCTGTCAGTGCAGAGCCTGACGTGGGGCTCGCGGGAGAACCGCGACATGAACCGCGAGATCATGACCTGAGTCAAAGTTGGAGCCGCCCAGGGGCCCCTATACAAATTCACTGTATGAACACTCCTCCCTATTTAGGCCTTATACCTGAATCTGAGAAGACCTGAACTGGATTCAAAGACGGCAGAGATGAAGCTCTTTAGTATTGCTCAGTCCTACTCACAAGCTCCACCGAGTGTAAAAAGTTGCGAGAACAGCACAAAGAGTGCATCAGAGAGAGGGAGGTTCCAGGGATTGCCTTCTGTTCCTCCTGCAGAAGGCCCCAAGCAGAGGAGGCTGCCCTAAACAGAGGCCTCCTGGGCTTTACCATCCACCCCCACAAAGGCCTGGCCAGCATCTGATGATGTCACATGTCACCCAGCAATTCAGGTGCTCTGCGAACCTGGCCGGCCAAGCCCACCATCCACGACTCATCCACACCGAGTGACTCCCCTTTGCGGTGCCCGAGTCTCAGGTCCTATGGCTTTCCAGCATCTGTGTCTGCATTTACATGATCCAGGGCTTTACCATTCACGTCCACATGGGAGCTTTCCGTGGACAGGCCTGGCTATGGCTTCTTACAGTGTGTGTAGACGGGGAATGGTAAGGACGGACACGTAGTTGGTTGTAATCATGCACTACGGGAGTGCGTAGGTAGGGGGTAGGGGCCGTGTGGTGAAGGGAAGACCAGAGAGGGAAGCGGGGGGCCAATAATAAATGGAAAAGCAAACCAGAGTGGAACCACATACAATTGCATTTATGCATCTGGAGAAACTTTTGCATATGCCAAGGCATATAAAAAGAAATTAAATTTAAAAATTAAAAAGACAAAGAGAATATCCACGCTACTTGGGTGATTAAAAAAAAATCAAAACAAAAAATGCCAGCTGCTTGACTGCACGAAGGACTGAATTCTTCCCTCCCTTCTTCCAGATCTTACCTCAGGGAAGGGTTTTGTGCAGAGGACTGTGAGCTCACAAGCTGCCGTTCGCTTCATGTGTTCCCTTAACACAGCTTCCTGGAACACATTAGCCGCTTTCCTACAAAAGTCTACAATGAATAATTGAAATTAAACATTCCTGGTCAAAATAAATCAACACTGAATGACACATTGCCCTGATTTTTCCTGTTTCTCACATCGTTCCTAATCCACCAAATGTGGTAATTTATTTTTTTTTCAACGTTTTTTATTTATTTTTGGGACAGAGAGAGACAGAGCATGAACGGGGGAGGGGCAGAGAGAGAGGGAGACACAGAATCGGAAACAGGCTCCAGGCTCCGAGCCATCAGCCCAGAGCCCGATGCGGGGCTCGAACTCACGGACCGCGAGATCGTGACCTGGCTGAAGTTGGATGCTTAACTGACTGCGCCACCCAGGCGCCCCCAAATGTGGTAATTTAAATTAAATTGAATTTCCTTGTCTTCTTGCTGAATTTGCCAGGTTCCACTAAACTGACCATCAGGTGAAAGCAGCAAATGAACTACAGTGAAATCCTGAGCCAGAGACCTGACTGACGTGTGTGTGTATGAGGAAGGGTTGTTCTGAGGCTTCTTGACTAGCTGACACAAGGTGACAGATCATAGACTCGAATGAGTGCCTCAAAAACCATCCATGAGTGGATAATATCATTGAGAACCCTGGATTTCCAACATTCTTCTCTTGCATTCTCACGTGTTGACTTTCCATCCTAGATTTGTTACCTCATTATCATGAGTGAATGGTGGCCTCATGGGGTGCCTGGGTGGCTCAGTCGGTTAAGTGTCCAACTTTTGATTTCAGCTCAAGTCATGATATCGTGGTTTGTGAGGTTGAGCCCCACATCGGGCTCTGTGCTGACAGTGTGGAGCCTGCTTGGGATTCTCTCTCTCCCTTTCTCTCTGCCCCTCCCCTGTCATGCTGTCTCTCAAAAAAAAAAAAAAAGAAAAGAAAAGAAAAGAAAAGAAAAAGAAAAAAAGGTGGCCTCACAAAAGATATGTCCACCTAGAACCTGTGACTGTGACCTCATTTGGACCAAGGGTCTTTGTAGACATAATTAATCTCAAGATGCCTCACAAAAGAGCGATCAACCCAGAACCTGTGACGTTGACCTCATTTGGACCAAGAGTCTTTGTAGATATAACTAATCTCAAGACAAGATTATCCTGAATTAGGATGGACCCTAAATCCTATGACAAGTGTCTTTAGAAGAGAAAGCGAGGAAAAATACCAAGAAGGAGCTGTGAAGACAGAGGCACAGAATGACAAATTCTCACTCAGAGGTTCTGGAAGAGACCAACCTTGCCGGTGTCTTGACTTCAGACTTCTGGCCTCCAAACTGACGAGAAAATAAATTTCTGTTGTTTTAAGTCACTGAGTTTGTGGTCATTTGTTACAGCACTTCTAGAAAACGAATACACTTCTGGTCTAAATATGGCTGCTGCCTCACAAGCATCACATCCTCACACCCTTTTATTCACAGTGGAAAGAAAGAGAGCAGGGACAGGAAGGAATTTTATTTTTCATTAGCAGAATTCTACTCCCCTTATTTCTTATTAAAAAATAAGAAAATTTTGGAAAACGAGTATTTGTCAGAAAGAAGCAACAAGAGTTTGAAAATGTGGGGGATGACAGTGGACAGTGAGGAGGGCCTTTTTAGTGGTCAAAAATGGTTACTGTCATTTAATGAGTGGGGACCAGCTATCCTAAAAGTCTTGTAATGTGTCCTCTATTGAGACATATTAGGGATCAATTATGAGTTATCCCTGCAGGCTGGATCCTGGTTGCCCTGTTAACAAGAAGCGGGGGGGGGGGGGGGGGGGGGGGAGGGGACAGGAGAAGTGGCAGACCGGCAGGCAACTAACAATGCCTGTCACACATGGGAATGACTCACTGTGATATAAAGCTATGGCACAGAAACTGACTTGGATGGTAGCAGGTGCTCTTGGTTTTGTTGGTGTGTGGCCAGATTCATTCATTCATTCACCCACTCATTCACTGATTCAATGAGCACAACTCAAATAGACTTAAGCCAAAAAAAAAAAAAAAAAAAGTATTATTAGTACATAAAACCAAAGTCCAGAAGAAATTTGGGGGAATCTGCAGGGGCTCCAGTGCTGTCATTAGGACCTGGTCTCTCTCTACGTGGGTCCTTTGACTGCTTTCTCTGTGTTGATTTCATTTAAATAAGCTCCTCTCATTCAGAGGTGAAATGGCTAAGAGTTATTCCAGGTTCACATTCCAGTCAAAAACATTCCCCCCCACCCCGCCCCACCTGCTCCAGGAAAGAGAGATCCTTTTTTACAAGTGTTCCATTAAACCTCCCGACACTAAGTGTCATTGGGCCATCTGGACCAAGTGCTCACTCCTGTGCCATCTCTGTGCCTGAGGGTAGATTACACAGCCAGGTGAGGTTGGATTGCAGGTGGCCCATGTTGCAAAGGGGAGGGGACATTGCGAGGGGGCTCATGGATTTAGCCACTCCAAACATATGCACTCAGAGTGGGGAATTGGTTTCCCAGGGAAAATCAGATTAAAAAAAAAAATTAATGAATTTAGAGCAAGCAAATGTGACAAATACCTGCTGCACTCCAAGTCTGTGAAATGAATGTCATCGTACATGAGCATAAGATAGATGTGTATGGTCCAGTGCAAATTCATCATTACTCTTGATGGGGGGAGGGCAATTTAGAGTACAGGAAGGGCCTTCTAAAGGGGGAGGGGGTCAGTAGCATCATCTAGACGGATAGTAATAATTGAGTTCCACAAAGGGAAAGCTGAGGATCCTATAGGAAACTATACTGGCAAAATTCCGTTAAATTAGGATTTGTAATACTTAATCTATCAGGTGTAATATTGGACATTGATCAGACCATCTGGTTTGATGTTTAGAGAGCATTCCAAACATCAAAAATATCAAAATGAGGTCCAAGATCCCCTTCTATTTAACTACTATGTTTGGTCATACAGACTACACAGCTCATTTGTGGAAAATGATGTGAGGTATGAGTGTTTGGGAAGATTTTCAAGGTGACGCTTTGGTTTCCACTTAGATAAGGAGGTTAACCTCTGGCTAAATATGCATTAACCTTACCAGATGAAGAGGAGGAAGAAGAAGGAGAAAAAGAAGTCTGAAAGAAAGAAAGAAAGAAAGAAAGAAAGAAAGAAAGAAAGAAAGAAAGAAAGAAAGAAAAAGAAGTCCTGTAAAGTCGCTGGAAGCCACATGGACCCATGGGCAGGTCACCAAGCAACAGCATTAACTAGCACTGCTAGTCATGATTTCAGAGTACAAGCCAATTGCTGAAATGATTCGGTCCCATCAATGGAAATGGTCTTCTCTGTATAGTTCTGTATTATGTGACCATCTCACACCAAGATCCCAAACGTTGGCCCTTGAGTACAACCGGAATACGAAAACCTCCCTGCGTTCTGTTAAGCCAGCTCTAGGCACTGGCACAGAAGGCTGTTGTTCACAATGACGTGACTTGGTCTCATTCTGGGGTTGGATCCCCAGCAAAATTCTGTCTTGCCCTCAAAGATGACCCATGTAAGACAGGTTAAGGACTATAGAACACTCCAGCCTGGTCTCCCAGAAGTGGCGTGGTGGTGGGAGCACCGTGTCAGATCTGTGTTCTTTGGAGGGCAAGTTGCAGAACTTCAAGTTCTCCGCCTCTGGTTGCCTCCTCAGACATGCAATTCAGTGCCAAGTACGTGCGTTTAGTTACTGCCCGTTTGGACGGTGAAAAATCAAGTGCATTTCTGACATTCTTTCTCCTTCTGTGAGTCCCTAAAACTTAGGGACGCGTAATCTGCCTGGAAATGCTCAGTCTTCCAGGTGTCAAAACAGCACGTGCGTGGGCTGGGCACCCAGGTGTTTGGAGAGCTGTGATACTGCAAAGCACTTCGCAGAGTTCTGCATTCTCAGACGGTCATGTTTTTCTCCGCTTTTTACTACATACCGATTACTAAAAAGATATATAGACTGGGCATGAAAATGTCTTAGAAAATATTACAAATGAAAGTCATGCATAAATACATTCTTCTGCTTGAACGTCAAAGTAACAATTACCATAACTAGCATATTCTGTTGGAGACACTGCTAAGCACTTTATATGGAGCATCTCACGTACCCCTCACAATATCTCAGTGAGGTACCTACCTAGTATTCCCATTTTATAGATACAGAGAATGAGGCTAAAGAGGTCAAATAACTTGCCCAAGGTCACACAGTGAGTGACAACATTGGGATTTGAACCCAGGAAGATTGACTTTTCATTACTTTCTAATCCTCACCATGTATAAGGTTGTACTTGGCATATTAGTTTTGATAAAGAATATATTCCTTTACAGGGGTGCATGGGTGGCCCAGTCGGTTAAGCATCCAACTCTGGCTCACGGTTTGTGAGTTCAAGCCCTGCGTCGGGCTCTGTGTTGACAGCTCAGGGCCTGGGACCTGCTTCAGATTCTGTGTCTCCCTCTCTCTCTGTGCCTCCCTCACTCGTGCTTTCTCTCTCAAAAACAAAAAAAACATTAAAAAACTTTTTTTTAAAATAATATATTCCTTTACAGTAAGATCAGGGCGACTTCATACTGGCTATTTCCAATAATCACAGGAAATCCCTAATTTCCACATACTTCAGGTTTCCGGAACTTGGAAGATTGAGAACAGCGCAGGATGGAGGCAAACAGAACTCATCAGCCCAGCCCAGTCGGAGTGTGCCCCTAATACCCAGGAGCAACTCTGTCACAAGCTCATCTTAGGTTTCTGGCACTAAGGAGCATTCCAGACAGAGCAACAGGGGATGAAAAGGTGACAGGAGCATTAATTATCTCCAGGCTTAGCCAGTTGGGGACTGTCAGACACCCTTTCCTATCTAGACCAGGGTCAAAAGTTCTCCTACTAATAATAGCTGGGCCAGGCCAGCTTTGCTGCTTCAAAGGTTTATCAAAGCTCACACAACAGTTCTGGGGTGGCCAAAGCGCTCTCGGAGGGGTCAGCAAAGAGTCAAGAAATGGCGCCTGTGTTTCTTTAAAACTTATTCAAGTAGGTGCCCTCCCTGCCCACCACCTACCTAGTTGGGTTCAAAGTTTGGTCCTTCCTGTAACACGGATGTGGGTGGAAGAACTGGGAGGATTGTTCCAGTTCACTGATCTTTCCGGAAGCAGTGGGCGGGCTGAACCACAAGGTGATTGACAGGCCCCAGGAGTCCAAGAAGGCACTGCATCCTGTCTGATACCAGGACCCCCGGACCCTCTGAGACAGGAATGAGACTCTGTTTTTCCTGTCAGTAAAAACGCTGTCTCTTTGATAATTAACAGTTGTTCTAATAGCTAAAGAAAAAACACTGCTAGGGAAAAAAAATATGCAAAATTTCCTGCAACAATTGAAGCTTTCTGTGAACAGAAGTTGTAGCCGGTGGTCCAAGTCTCCAGGCTACCAGGAAGTACCTGTTCTCACCCCTCTCCTCCAAAATAATCCCTGAGGCTCCCAGGCCTGACATCCAGCTGAAGTGTGTGCATATAAACCTCACACAGTGTTCTGACAAGGAGCTGGCTTGGGCTGATGATAGGAGAACAGTGCGTCCCAAGCTGTCCACGTTACCAGATTTACTTTTTCTTGAGAGAAGGGAGGTAAAATACACATAACAGAATGTATCATTTTAAGCACTTTTGAGGGTACAATTCAGTGACATTACACACATTCACATCGTTGTGCCTCCATCACCACCATCCATCTCCAGAAGTTTCTCATTTCCTGAACTGAAACTGTTCCCGTTAAACAATAGCTCCAATCTCCCTGCCCCCTTCCCCCTCCCCCGAACCTCTAGTCTACTTTCTTTCTTTTTTTTTTTAATATTTATTTATTTTCTCTGAGGGGCAAAGAGTGAGGAGAAAGAGAGAATCCCAAGCAGGCTCCATGCTGTCAGCACAGATCCCGATGTGGGGCTCGATCCTAGGAACCGTGAGATCATGACTTGAGCTGAAATCAAGAGTCTGACACTTAACAGACTGAGCCACCCAGGAGCCCGTTTTACTTGCTGTATCTACGAATTTAAGTACTCTAGGTGCCTCATATTAGTGGGATCATGCGGTATTTATTCTTTGTAACTAGCCTATTTCATTTAGCATGATGGATTCAAGGTTTATCCATTTTGTAGCATATGTCAGAATTTCCTCTCTTTTTTTAAGGCTACTATTCCATCGTATGGATATACCGGTTTTCATTTATCTGTTCATCCATTCATGGACATTTGGGTTGTTTCCACCTTTTGGCTATTGTTATAATGCTGCTGTGAATGTGGGGGTACAAATTCTGTTCAAGTCCTGCTTTAAATTCCTTTCGGTATATACCCAGAAGTGGATCAGGTTTACTTTTTAAAATTAAGTGTTATTGACTCAGACAGCTTGTAGTGTATGCTCATCCCTGGACTTTGCACTTCCTCTCTAGAAGAAGAAATAAAGCTAGTATATAAATAGCAGCCTCACACAGCAAAGTGTGGCATAAGCATCTGTGATATTGTAATTTAGAATAAGAAGTTCGTCTTCCATCCTGGAACTAGCTCCTAAAACCTTTTTAATTTCCTAAGTGATATGAGCTAAGGAGGCATCTCTTTTTCCTGGTTCCTGATGTAGCTGCAGAGCCGTAAAGGCGAAGTGGATTGTTATGTTGTTATTCATAACAAGCCCCTTTCAAACACACCCTATGTTAAGGAGGTGACTTTCTCGGAAAGCTGCTAGTAACCTAAGGATGGGGGCTGGTTGCCAGGGGCAACAGTCTTGATTAGAGGATTGGATGGGGGAGCCTGAGTGGCTTATTTGGTTGAGTGTCTGACTTCGGCTCAGGGCATGATCTCATGTTTCACGGGTTCGAGCCCCATGACAGGCCCCGTGCTGACAGCTCAGAGCCTGGAGCCTGCTTCGGAGTCTGTGTCTCCCTCTCTCTCTGTCCCTCTGCGGCTCGTGCTCTCTCTCTCTCTCAGAAAATAAAAAAATAAATATTAAAAAAAAAAAAGAGGGTTGGAGCGTCAGAAGTGAAGCAGGTTGCAGTAGAGCATTGAGTATAGAGGAGACGCACAAGAGTGGTTTTCCTTCAGAGTCTGAGCGGGATCGATCAAGTATGGAAGGGAGAGCAGAGGGGTGAAACTCCGTGGCCAGACTGTGAGCACTGAAGAACAGGGACTGCTCGTTTCCAGCGGCTCATCCATCCCCGCACACAGTGGGGCATCAGCGGGTGTCTGTCGACTGAATGTATGACTGAGGGAGTGAAATGACATTTTGTGGGGCCGTAAAAGGACAACTTTTATCAAGGACAGGGCACTGTGGGGGGAAGAGGTGGGGAGCATTGCAAGGTTTGGGTGTGGGAGGAAGACATCCTCAGGAAAGATACCGCCTAAGCCAAGGTAGAGACAGAAAGCCCAAGGCATAGTCTGGAAGGAGGGGCCGTGACTTAGATAGTCCCTAAGAGATAAGCATTGGCAGGGAGAGGCCCGAGGGATGCTCTCCTCTATGGTTCAGCTGGACATATGGCCCCTGATGTGAGCTGAATTATGCGCTCCCCGGATTCCCATGTTGAAGTCCTAACTCCCAGTCCCTCAGCATGTGACTGAGAGCCTTTACAGAGGTGATTAGATGAAAACGAAGCCCTCAGGTTAGGCCCTAGTCCCGTAGGACTGGTGTTGTTTTAAGAGGAAATTTGGAGGCAGACGCACAGAGGAAAGACCACGTGAAGACACAGCAGGAGGATGGCCATCTGCAAGCCAAGGACAGAGGCCTCAGGAGAACCCAAACATGCCGACCCCTTGATCTTGGACTTCCAGCCCCCAGAAGTGAGAGAAAAGAAACTTCCATGGTCTAAGCCCCGCAGCCTATGAGAGCCTCAGCAAACTAACACCAAATCCCTGTGGTTAACAGGCTGCCGAGGGCATAGCATGTGCAACTTTCAGATCATGTGCTTACGAAGCGAGGACCTCGTGCTTCCCCTTTCGTCTCTCCTTCTCGTGGGCTGTGGATTGGGGCTGAGCCATGTTTGTGCAGGGAAGGCAGCATTCTGGAGGAGCCTGCAGGGCAGGATGGCGGGGAGCCTGGGTCTCTGACACGATCCAGCCCCCCACGCCAGCCCCGGAGTGTCGGCCAGAACTGTTCTGTGAGGAAAGTAAACTGCAGCCCCCTGTTGCAGCCACCTAGCCTTTGTCCTAAACATCACAGCAGGCAGGCTACTCGGGTTCTAGCCTATAACTAGGACCCGAAGAGTAAGGCCAGTGGGACAGACAGAAGGTAGATGGAAGGCAGTCTGCCATGGAAAGTGTCCCAGCTGACAGCAGGAAGTGAAGGAGTCCCAGAGTGCCTTGAAGCATGCATTAGCAGGAAGAGGGGAGGGCACCCTGCTTTTCAGGTCACTGCCCTCATCTCCTCTCGATCTTTCCTTGAGTTTTTCCCTCTGTCCCTCTCATCTCTTCCCTCTTCCAACCCCTGCTCAACTCTCCAAATATTCCTTGTCACTCCTCATTTTTCTCCTGCAGTCTTCTGATAAGAGACCCCGTGGAATAGAGGGGACCCTCTGTGCCTAGGGCCCTGCCAGCTCAAGGTTATTCTGTGGGACAAGCCAGGCAACCGAGAAATTGGAGGACACTTTCTCACTTACAAGACCCCTCAAGAAGCTCAAGTTCATTCAAGTAAGAAGAAAGTATTGAGCGCTTACTCTGCATGCCCCTTGGTAGGTCCTTTGGGGTGACTGATGATGGGACGGTATACTAAGGTATAAACAGGAGGACTTTGACATTTCTTAAATGACTATAATATGCGAGATGCTTTATAAAAATGTGCTTTCTCATTTAAATCTCATAACTATCCTGCATTTTCTTTTTCTTTTTTTTTTCAACGTTTATTTATTTTTGGGGGACAGAGAGAGACAGAGCATGAACGGGGGAGGGGCAGAGAGAGAGGGAGACACAGAATCGGAAACAGGCTCCAGGCTCTGAGCCATCAGCCCAGAGCCTGACGCGGGGCTCGAACTCACGGACCGCGAGATCGTGACCTGGCTGAAGTCGGACGCTTAACCGACTGCGCCACCCAGGCGCCCCTCTATCCTGCATTTTCAAGACGAAGTGGATAATTTCAATTTCTGAATAATTTATTGATCATTCATAAATTGCTCTTATCAGTGATCCTCTATTTTTCTATATAGACAAAGACCAGAGTTCATAGTGGTAAAGTGTTTCGTCAATGATAATGGTAAACGTAGACTCAAATGAAAGAGCTAGCTTGCCCCGGAACAGCTGTGCGACCTTGACAAGTTCCTTATCCTTTCTGATTGAATTTCCTCATCCACACTCATGTTAACAATAGAGGAACTTCACCACGCAGGGGTGTTGAGAGAATTGAAAGAGAAATGGCATGTAAAGTTCAGAACCTGGCATTACACTATTCAAGAAGTCTCACTTTGGGAAAAAGTCCCCCAAAAGCTTAGCTAAATGGCAGAACTAAAGGGGCTACTACCTTAAGGATGAGAGAAAACTGTATTCCTTAAAGTGGCCACATTTTACTACAGAAAGCAACCTGGTGAACTCTAACACCGAGAGATGATGCTGATAGTGATAAGGAGGCTGATGGTGAGGTAGATGATGATGAGAAAGGTGATGGTGAGGAGGAAGGCAATGGTGAGGAGGATGGGGATAGTAGGCATTTATTTTATTACATCCCAGCGTCAGGCACCGTACTGCTAAACTCTACACAAATTATCTTACTTAACCTACAAGTTGGTCCTCGTATCCTCATCTTGCCAGTCAGGAAACGGAGTTTTTCAGAAATTGGGAAGCTTGCCACGTTGCAAATGGTGGAGACTGAGGGGAGCCCAGGCAGAGAACCACTCTGGTTTGTTTTCCATCCTTTCCAAATCACTGCAGTCAGCATTGGTGCTACTTTCCCAATGGTACAACAAACCGTCTAAACCTTTCTAGAATACGGAAGCTTCACTTTTTGCGTTTTCATTCTTTTCTTTCATTTTACTTTCTAGAACCTTTCCAGAGACTGCCCCCCTCCCTTTATTAAGCACTAGAAAAACTCTTAAAAATAAGTAGAATTGAGAGAACTGCAACTGGAGACGCTTGCCCCAGACACAACAAAATTCTTACACAAATGTATTTTGGA